TCCACACTTTTGGTAGACCCTGTATATACATATATATATGTATATATTTTAAAAGTGTATATATATATATATATATTTTTTTTTTTGTAATTGTTGAAATACACCGTGACACAGAAGCTTACCTTGTAGCAGCTGATGTAAAATGTACGATATTTGGTATGGTAGGCTTGCTAGAGAAAAATATATTGCTGAATATCGCAGATGTTACATCAGCTACTACGAGATAAGCTTGTGTACTTATGTGTCGCAGTGCATTCTGACAATGACTTTACCGATGTCAAGAGACACGGTAGTGTCTTGTGCTAAGTCCCGCATAAGCAACAAGATATACACTCCGTGTATATTTACGCGAGTCGGATAGTTGGAGATATTTGAGATTATCATATTGAAATAATCGCTGAACGAATCGAGTTCTTACTAGGCTTAATTGATAGCTTGAGCTTGATTTATATCAGAAAAGTGTCGTTATTTTTGCTCTATGTGCATCGTGAACAGCAATAAGAGCATATTAAGAAACGTCTCCTTGGTCAACGCTCAAGTCCCCAATGCGCAAGCGTACAAAGTTGTTAACAAGTAAAATATTTATTTCTCGAGATTATCTTACCTTAATACTTTTATGTACAAAATAATGAGAGGAATCAATTGGTGTAAAAAAAAACACATAATTGTTCCGAAGAAAAAATATGTAATTGACATTTACAATTAGCGCTGCTACGCTGAACAATGTGCTAATGAAATTAGCAGCGCTAAGTTTTTTAACTAAAATTTTTTTATATGTATTAATTTTTAATTTTTATATAAATTTTTATTTTTTATTTATTAATTTCTAATTTTTAATTTTTTTAATAATTTTTAATTTTGTATTTTGTATTATCATTTTCTATTTTTTTTAAATTAAACTTTTCAGGATATATGCATATGATTATTGCAATGTATATGATTGTTCATATTTTCAATTCGATTTGATTTTTTATAATAGATATATTACAATTCATTTAATATCATTTTTCTTTTAATATTGAAAATAAAAAAGATATATATGTCTATTTTATAGTAAAAATTTTTATTCAGTTGGTGCAACTTTTTAATATTATTTATAGGAAATTAAAACAATTATTTTGTACAATTTTTTTTAGTTAAAATATTTTAAGTTTTTATTTTCAATTAGCGTAATTTTTGGATATCATTATTTTTCTAGAAATGTAGAAAATAATGTAGAAAATTAAAACAACTATTTTGTATAACTTTTTTTGGTTAAAGTATTTTTATAAGTTTTTATTTTCACTTAGCGCAATTTTTTTGATATCATTATTTTTGTTGATATACAATACAGTAGTTTTTTACAGTTAATAATACACTATTTTGCAAATACATATACTGTTTTTTACGCGGACTTAGCACCATTTTTTACCTTTTTTTTAATGGTAATTTTTTAATGGTAATTAAACACCATTTTTTACCTTTTTTTTAATGGTAATTTTTTAATGGTAATTTTTTAGGGTTATAATGTGACCCGAGCACGCCAAGTTTTTGTAAGTTGTTTTGGTCTTAATTTTTTTAGTTTCAAATTTACTTGGAACTTATTTTGAAAATCATTTTCATTTTGTCGAGAATCTAATATATAAATGCAAGATTGAATTTGTGACAAACATTTCAAATTACAAATCCCTATCAATTGCTTCAATGTACTTGCTAATTAATTACCCAGGTAGCAAGCACGCGTCATTTTGACGTTCCAAACTGGTCATTGTTGGTCATATGTCAAAATGACTGATTTGTTACATGACTTTATCATTGATATCTTGATATAAGATTTATTTTATACATTATTTTGATGTCATTTTTCAGTCATAAAGTGACGATTATTTTATTATTAATGTCATTAATTAGTATTATACATCGATCCCATAAAAAAATCTTTTAAAATTTTTTATATAACATGACTTTCGTAATCAGACTTTAACAATTCTTTCGACGCATGCGTTTATCTGTGTACGATTCATGTTGCATAGTTAAAATATTAGCTACTTATATCAATCGAGTGTAATTAAAGTGCCAAAAAATATATACATTTTTTAATAAATAATACAATTGATTGACAAAATATATTTGTATAAAACTCAGACAATGAAAGACATTATTTGTTAAAATGTTATATGATATGTTATTAGGTGTAAGTTTTTTTTATTTACGTTTAAATAAAATAATAATAACAAATATAAAATTTGTGACCTATTTTCTTATCGTTGCGTTTCTTCATCATTTGAGTTTTTCAGCGTTTTCGAATGAAGCAGTTTATTCAATCCTCTGAAGAATAGAATGGCTGTAATTGTTCAATGATGCTCTCGAATCGGTTAATTTGATCTCTAAAAGTGAATCAGTGAAAACTGTGATATCACTAATTTAAACAGTAAAATAAGATTTCACTGAGAATCAGTAAGTATGTTACTGATCTTCAGTGGAAACGCTTATTTTTTTGTTATTTTATCTTATATCCCACTGATTATGGTCAGTTAAAGTAAAATTCACTGTAAAACCAATAAATTTCACTGTAAAATCAGTAATCGCTAGTTCGTTCGTTTACCGCTATGATCGCTATCTCTCTCGTATTTAATTTTAATCATAAAAATTACATAAAGTTTGCAAAGAGTGACAGATAAAATTAGAAATATTACTTCGATTTAGTTTCTGATGACAATCTCAATAAAGAATAGAGAGGCTTAGATATTAAATCAACCTTATAAGACGGACAAATAAATGTCTGGCGATTTAATGAAAATTATTCGTTCGTTATCTATTTAAAATAACAAGTTCAATTTACATGTAATATAAATAAAATAAAATTTTTTTAATATAATAAATACTTAATAAATATGAATAAAATTTTTAATTTTATATATATTTATTTATATTTATATACATTATTTATTTTTATATTTATTATATTTATATTATATTTATGAAATAGATAGAGATGAATTGTAGTTTAATATTACTGGCAAAAACGAAAGAAATATTACTGATATTGAGAAATATTACTGAGATATTACTAATTGAAACAGTCGAAATTATTAATTGATTCTTTCAAGAAAATATCACTGATTTACAGTACTGTATTTATAACTGCTGTAATCAGTGATTATTTACTGTTTTTCAGTGTAATACACAGTAATACACTGATTCACTTTTAGAGAGTGCTTTATTCGACAACACTATTAAATATGTTATTATGCTAAGAAAAAGACGTCAAAATATGGTACATTTTATGACGTCAAAATACGGTACATGTCATGACGTCAAGAATCTGTGATATTAGACCGTCACTTTTACGTCATAAAAATGTCAATTCGTGATGTCAAGAATAGACAGTAAATGACCAATTTGAAACATCAAAATGACGTGTTCTTGCTACCTAGATAATGATTTTATATTCAGTTTTGATTCTTTTAGGAAAATTATATATATATTTTTTGAGGAAAAATTTTTATAAATTATTTATTATAAGGGTATTTTTTAATTAAACGTTTTGTTGCATACAAGGTGGAATATTTTTTATGTATTTGGCGTATTTTTTTTACCTTTGTAAATTGTTACGATAAATTAGTTTCCTTAGAAGTATCTAACGGTAGTTTTTATATTTTTGTGACACCATTTTCGAGATAGATTAAATTTTACCCCCAAGAAATTTTTGAAAATTGTTATGCGACAAATTAATGTCTCACACGTATACACACACATATACACATATCACACGTATGCGCACACATGTACATAATACTTTTGTTTCTTAAAGCATTTTTACACACTAAAGCAAATAATCATATATGTGAAGAACACAGCTTGCGGAACAAAATCGCTTTGAATGTGTGCGTGCGAAGATACGTTTATGAGTCTGAACCTTATCATGGAAACTGAAAAATGTCACAATTCTGACATACGATTATCATTTCTCGAGATTGACTGCACCGATTTTATTCAAACTCATAATTGAAAGTTTGTATTTACTTTATATGAGAAAAATGCCATTTTAAATTCCGGCTTTAGTTTCTGAAATATTTCAATCAAAAGTTCTGAAATATTTCAATCAAAGTTTATGTGACGTCATTCTAACGTAAAATTCCGGGTAAGCTTGGTAGCGCCACGTCGATCGAGAATAAATAAATGACTCTTAATGCTCGGACCCAATTTTTATTAGTTTTTTATGTACTTTGCGTCGCGACGCTATCGCGTCGTTTGATAACACGTTTTAATCTTATCAATTCAAAAGTTAACATACTTCAAAATAATTAAAAAGACAATGAGGAAGTCTCATGTACATGCATATAACAAAACTAATAAAGTATAAAAAATGTACTATAGTTTAGTTTTTGAAATATAAATAAAATAATCAACCGAATGTATACTTTGATTGACAAATTTAAATAACAATGTAATCTACATGAATATTAGACTTTATTACACTTCATTATATTCTTAAAAAATTTGTTTTTATTAAAATTTATTTCCAAAGAGCTATTTTTCTTTATATCATTTATCCATATAAAACTTCACGTGCAATCTAGTTAAAAATTTAATTGTTAGTTTAATATATCTGATAAAATGTATATATTTTATATTATATGTCTTACACAGTCAGATAATTAATTATAATTATCTACCGAAAAATGACTGACAATTATTTTATAAGTTAATTTTATTAAATACAGAGTACATACGCAATAATATATAGTGTGTAATGATTAAGGAAGATTATCTGATCAATTATATTTTTTTATTATTATAATATGCGAAGTCATGTATTCGACCTTTTGTCAAGATAAAAGTAATATATATATATATACTACTTTCAATAGCGTGAATCAATATATTATCACTGAAAAACAGTAAATATTCACTGATTACAAGCAGTTATAAGTACAGTACTGATCACTGCACTGACAGTGATAATACACTGTTTCACTTTTAGAGATTGTAATTTCCGCAAATTCATCATAACTCACCTCCTTACTCGCACATCTTTTGTGGTGACGCATACGCTTTATAATTTGATCCAACTTAGACCAAGACAGCCAGTATCATTTCCAGTCATTTCGTGATAAGTTGATCGGCTGAGATAGCTCCATATATATCAATTACCGTAATCGTTCATTACGTTACGTTCAAGTCCGTCATATTTATCATTTATCATTTATTTGGGTAGTATCTATCATATGTCTTCTGAATCGCGTATAATGAAATATTTCGATTAGCATATAAATAATAACATTTTCAAAGATTTTTGAAAGAATTCAAGAATTTTAAAATGTATGTTCACACACACACACACACACACACACAGACAGACAGACAGACAGACACATACACAGACAGAGAACATCCTTAATTCTCGTATTTCAATCACAGATTTCTTCTTTGAGAAGAAGATTCGTCAGATTTTTCATTTTGCTACTTTCATTAGCGTGTAAATGCTCAACAGCATTCCTTCACGATTTTATGATATAGTATATTGATATAGAATATAGTATATTAACAAGAAGTAATTAATTGTTAATTAATAGTATATTAAAGTGAAGGAATGAGATTTCTCATTCGGTTGATTTCAACGTGGTAATTTGTACTAAATAGGCGTAGAATTATATAATTATTTTTTTTTCTCCATAAAACACGCCTTACAACTGCGTTGGCTCTTCATGGCCTTTTACTATATTTTAGTTTAATTGTATTTTTAATTAAGATTATGTATTTATTAAAAGCATAAAATAAAATTTTTCTTATTATTGCTCATCTTTAAAATCAATAAAAATTAACATTAAATTCTTGAAAGTCGCCAGTAGATAATAAAAGAAAATAAAAGACGTTATTAAAAACGATATTTCTTCGTGGTTTTTTCAAAAGTACGGTTGACGCTACTACTATAAAATGTGATGTTAGTTTTTAACTTATTAATGTGTGACGGAATTAAATACCTTCTGCATCGGAGTAAGAAAATGAGTTGTTGATTGGCCGTGCAGATCTTCCTTTTATTGTTAATCCATGACTTCAACAAGGTCGTGTAACTTTTGCCAAACCGATTAGTAATCATTTGGAAAAACATATCAGATTGCAAAGGCTCCATAATTAGGTCCAGGAGCATAAAAATAACATTAAATTCTTGAAAGTTGCCAGTAGATAAAATAAAAGACGTAATTAAAAACGGTATTTCTTCGTGGTTTTTTCAAAAGTACGATTGTCGCTACTATAAAACGTTTATCTACTTTTGAAAAAACCATGAAGAAATACCATTTTTAATTACGTCAATAAAAATTAGTTAAAAGGTTTCAAGGACCGACACAATGGTGAAATTTGTGCAAAAATAGAACGGTTATTTCAAATTAATAAACCATATAAAAATGTTTATTTAATGTCGAACAACAAAGTGATAGTAATAAACATAAAAATTAAAAGTCAATAATAAAATGTAATAATAAAATGTACATAAGTTTCGGAAAAACGCATACCAAAATAAATGGTACTTACAAAATCAAAAAAGTCGGAAGCAAAAATACGTAACAGATGATTCAAACAATCAATTAGAAGAGAGCGCAACGCATTAACGGTAATAGTCGAAGTATCACAACAGAAAACCGAATACAAACCCACACCCCATATCCTCAGTGTCAACAAAGAACACGCTGCTTATCTCGAAAGCAAAAACCGAAGGAAAATCCCACACGCAAGTCCACGTTCATTTACAATTTAAAAAAGAAAAGCAGTCAAGGATGCATAAATCAATGACTAGTTGGAAACTTAATGGTCCTTAATGTGTGTAATGAAAGGCTTAATTGAGGTGATCGCCTATAAAAGAAAAAATAGGTGGAGCAATATATACTTTAACAGCAATCCGGAAATTAAAACTAATAATAAGAAAATCTAATAAAAATTACATATGGGTCTCCAAATTGAAAGTAATCTCAAATTAAAAAATCTTACGAAGGGAGAACAAGTTAAGCAGAACTTAACGTTCCAATAAATAGCGTCGAACTGAAATATATGAACACGTATAGACGAGTAACGAGAAGCATCAAAAGAGGGAGGAAGAGCAAACGTCACAGAAGGAAAAAAAGACAGAACGAAAGACAAAAAGAATTTGGTTCGCGTTTTTCCGAAACTAATGTACATTTTACCACTGACTTTTAATTTTTATGTTTATTACTGTCACTTTGTTATTCGACATTGAAAAGGATCCGAATTGGATTGAAACGCAACATTTGTCGTGTTTAAATTAAATAAACATGTTCATATGGTTTATTGATTTGAAATATCCGTTCTATTTTTGCATACATTTCACCATTGGTCCTTGAAGCCTTTTAACTAATTTTTATTAATTTTATTTAACGGATCTTTATTTTATTACAATAATTGTTATCCTTAAAATACATTAATAAATTTTAAATAAAAAGTAATTTGCATGTCATAATTTGAATGCGTTACATTTTACGAAACTGCATTACTCTTTTCTTAACAATTTAAAAAATTATAAATTGTTACAAATTCTTACAATTTACAAATTATTTACACATACCTATAAGTGACCTATTGATTATTCCGATATCGATAAAATCTGATTAAAAAATTAGTTACAATAAATTTATACTTTGTTGAATATGCATTTAATGCTTATTAACCTTTTTATTTTGGATTTGTTAAAATGGATTAAACAAGTTTGAGTTTTTATAATGAAATATTATTTTTTCTTTTTTAGCAAACATCGCTCTAAATAATTGATTGGCAACAGCAGAGCAATGGAATCTTTTGAAATACTATGCGGTATTGCGGCTATATGTTTTGCTGCTTATTATTATTTTACATCAAGCTATGATTTTTGGAAGTCACGTGGCATTCGCGGTCCAAAACCGATACCAGTTTTTGGTAATTTTAAAGACGTTATTCTTAATAAAAAGTTCGCAGGAGATTATTTAATGGAAATATACAATGAGTATAAAAATGAATCCATGATTGGAATATTCACAAGAAAAACACCCATTCTTATTGTAAAAGATCCAGATTTAATTAAGGATATTCTTATCAAAGATTTTTCTAAGTTCGCCGATAGAGGACATCCTGTGTTCAGTGAAAAAGTATGTAGATAATTCAAATTTTATTATAATATTGTAATTATATAAATGTGATAACTTTATATATACTACAATATTTTCCAATAATCAAAATTATTGAAAAGATTATATTAATTTTAAATAGCCTTGAGTTTTTTCAATCAAATTATTATAATTTAATGAAATTGATAAATTTATTTGACTGTAATTGTTTTTTATTATATCGTAGGCTGATCCACTATCGCAACATCTCTTTTCTTTAGAGCCTAAAAGATGGCGACCTTTAAGGATAAAGTTGTCGCCCGTTTTTACGTCTGGTAAGTTAAAAGAAATGTTCTCTTTAATATCGGAATGCGCTGATCATCTTGAACAATATATTGAGAAATTAGTGAGCAAAAACGAGACTATAGAATGCCGCGAGGTAACGGCAAAATATACGACCGATGTAATCGGTACTTGTGCATTCGGCATCGAAATGAACGCTCTATCAGACGAAGACAGTGAATTTCGTAGGATGGGAAGAATGGTCTTCACGCCAACCTGGCAAAATATTCTACGGATGAAAATAAAACATGCTTTTCCATGGCTCTACGAAATGCTCAGTTATATCCTACCACAATCGGAAGTCAATCAATTTTTCACACGTGTTGTGACAGAAACCATAAATTACAGAGAAACAAATAATGTCATTAGGCATGATTTCATTGATATGCTGCGCGAGTTAAAAAAGAATCCAGATAAAGTGGGTGATATTGGTAAGTAACGACTGTATACTTCTATAAAAATTTTATGGTACAAGAAATTTTTATGATAATAATTTTTTTAATTTTTGACAATGTTTATGAGTTTTTGTATACAGAATGTTAGAAAAGTCTGGAAATAATTAAATATCTTGAAAACGAAACGTTTCTGAGAAAAATGCTTTGAAACAAAGTTGTAGGTTTTAAATGTTTTATTCAATGATCATATCCATTCGAGTGGAGGTGTCAAGGCGAGGGTCAAGTCCAGCATGGTTTTTTTAAATGAAAACCCCAATTTTTTATTGCATATTCTTGTAGCTGACTTCGAGAGTTTTGCAAAACACTATAATTAAATTAGTTTTCATTAAGTACTTTCCGAGGTATGAAGTTTGAAATCATTTCTTAATTACATAAACTGTAAAATATTTTATGATTCATGTAAAATTAAGATATTATTTTACTAGATATTTTTAAGATATTATTTTACTAGATATTTTATGATTTATGTAAAATTAAGATATTATTTTAAACCTCATAATCAAGAAGTACTGAAAAAATATAGTGTTTTGGAAAGCTCTCGAAATGAGCTACAACAATATGTAATAAAAAATTGGGATGTTCATTTTAAAAAAATCATGTTGGCTTTGACCTCGCCTTGACCCATCCACTCAAGATCAAACGGATATGATCATTGAATAGAATTTTCAAAACCCTGCGGATCGAAACATTTTTTTCAGAAACGTTTTGTTTTCGAGATATTTGACCGTTTCCAGACTTTTCTAACACCCTCTTTTTAAATTTATAGATTAATTGTATTATATATTAATATTATACGTTAATCATAGTTTATTCATAATTTGTAATTTTCGATGTAATATTTAAAGAATTAAAATTAATTGTGAAAAAATATATCGTTTTTCAGAGATGACTGAAAGCTTGATAGCTTCTCAAGCATTCGTATTTTTCCTTGCCGGTTTTGAAACTTCATCGACGACTATGAGTCATGCGCTTTATGAATTGGCATTAAATCAACAAATACAAGATAAGCTACGTGAGGAAATTAATCAAGAGTACACTAAGCACGATAGTAATTTAACATATGAAAATGTAAAAGAGATGAATTACTTGGATAAAGTTTTCAAAGGTACATCATTCAAAAAAAATAATTTAATAGTTTCCTATTAATTTTCAATAGCATTATGATATCAATAGTTTTATTGCAAACAAATTTTAAAACATATATATACACATTTCGATAATTTATACTTCATAAACAAATTTTCAAATAATTCTCCCTTACATTATTTTTAATATATGCAGAAACTTTACGAAAATATCCACCAGCGACATTTCTTATGCGACAATCGACATCAAGTTATACTTTCGATGATACTACACTTGACATAACTAAAAATCAAAAAGTATGGATTCCGATTTTCGCGATTCATCGAGATCCGGATATTTATCCGAAGCCAGATATTTTTGATCCAGAAAGATTTAATGACGAAGCAATACAAACTAGACATCCGATGCACTATCTACCTTTTGGTGATGGGCCAAGAAATTGTATTGGTAAAGTGATATACGTAGATTTAAATACATTTCTTTTAGTTTTGTTTGTTTTGCTTTTACATTTAATATTATTTTAATCGAGAAATTTTTCTCATTATTTTTTTTATTTTCAGGTGCTCGCTTTGCTGTTTATCAGACAAAGGTTGGTCTTATCAAAATATTACGAAACTATAAAGTTGAGATTTGCGATAAAACGCTAATACCCTACATAATTGATCCTAAAGCATTTATATTAGCACCAAAGGATGGAATACACTTAAGGATAATTAAAATTAATCGAACTTAATTTAAGCTTTAGTACAATTCTTAAGAAACAAAAGTAAAAAAATATCTATAAATTAGAATAATAATGGCACTACCATCCGCGTTGGCTCTTAATTGCTCTTCTTTCCGTATATGATGTCTTTGTAGAATAATAATAGCTATATCCCAATAGCATCAATATATTTTACTAATATTGTTATATTGTAATATACTTTATGGTGTATAAAATAATTAATAATTTGATTTAATTAATTTTAATTTATGTTCTTATATGCGTAATATGGATATAATATGTTTAATTTTAAGTTTTAATTATATATATATATTGCACATAGAAAGTGAACTATATAATGTAGATACATAAAATAATGACAAATCATATAAAATATACAATTTGTGTGCAGAATAATTTTTGTTAATTAAAATAATAAAATGTTATATAAATATGTTATATAAAATATATTAGAATACATAAAAAATATATATGTTGTATATAAAAATAATAAAAAATGAAATAAAACTAAAAATATTCATTAATGTCCTCCATGAAAAATATTTATAATTATCTTTTGAATTAAAATATCTAAAATAAAAGATCTTTCGCGAGTTAATATATCATATTAAAAAAACTGTACACAGATCACTTCTAAAAAGTTATTATAATGTCATTATCACACACACACACAATTTTAAATTAAACTTCTACGGTATTTATTGTTAAAATAATATAATAATTATGATCAAAGATAAAACTAAGTTATATTTAGCTAAGAAGAAATTGATTACGTTAATTTAGACCTTACTTTTGTAAAATCTTGAAGAAGTTTTACTAATGTATAATAACATAAAAATATATATATGAAGAAGTATGTTGAAACATTTTCCTTTTCTGATTTTAGAACATACAGAAATAACGAAAAAAAATAACATAAGTTATATGCACATTTTCGACACACATTTAATGTTTTCTTAATGTATGAACATTTTGCGATAATTGATATTATTCATCTCTATAAATAAAACTACAAGAAAATCACAAGACACGTATATAATTTTCCCAAAAAAATGAATTAAACGATTTTTAAATTTGTTTCGTTTTCCAACTTTCTACAAATCACAAATAAAACATTATCAGTAAATAGAATTAAAACAATATATTACAAAATTCAATTTTTTAATTTTTTGTTATATATTTTGTAACGGCAAGGCTTACTATTGCCTCGCAGACCGGAAATCCGTCTGCAAGATATAACAATCTTAATTATTTTTATTCGTAATTGCTAATGGATAGAGATTCAGTCTAATCACATCAGAAATTAATTAAAAAATATATATAATAATAATTCGCTACACCTTTTTTCGAAATAATAACTTATCTAATAAATAGATAAAGAAATTTAGGCTCTGTTTAATGTATTAAACAACCTCATCACTCAAGAACATCAAATCCAAGGAAATCATACCCGAGAAAAGAGCGATTAAGAGCCACCGCGGATAGTAGTGCGTAAAATTTTAAAAGATTTGTATTAAATATGTATTAAATATTTTTTTACAATACTTTTTTAGGCAATTGAATCTGACATATGTCAGTCTTTTCAAATTTCAAGATACATCTATCATATTGATGTCTATGTAAATTTTCTTATAAATTCATACTTATATATTTTAGTAAAAAAAAATTATGCGGCGCAAATCGAAAATGGATTTGAAAAATAAAAATATGTACTATACGATGTCATTGACAGAAATATTTTAAAAAAATTTGGTTTCCTTACAATATATTCATGAAGTTGGCCAAAATTGTGATTTTTGGGCCATTCAACTACAAATTACTCAAAAACTTGACGTGCCGCGGAAATTCTGCGGCTAAATTCATTTTCAACGTCACAAAATTTATTACATTCACCTACTCTACTTTTTGTAACTCTCAAATGCTCAAATTTCGCGGGCCTATGTTATTAAAAAACCGTAGTATATAAAATTATCGCATTTATAGAAATACATTTATTCGAATATTAAAATTCGAATATTATAATATACAATTTAAAATATTTACATATTACATATTACATTTAAATATTACATACTTCTTCACTGACAGTAGGAAATCCTCTGTTGGAAAATTTGGAAAAATCTTTGATAAGAATATCCTTAATCAAATCTGGATCTTTTACAATAAGAGCGGGTGTTATTCCAGTGAATATCCAATCATGGATTCTTTATACTCATAGTATATGTCCTTTAAATAATCACGTGTATACTTTTTATTAAGCATAACATCTTTATAAATACCAGAAACTGATATTGGCTTTCGACCACGAATGTCACGTGACTTCCAAAAATCATAGATCGATGTAAGATAATAATAAACAGCGAGAAATATAGCCGCAATATCGCATAGTATTTCCAAGTTCCCGTCATTCTGAAGCTGCCAATTATTTATTTCGAGCAATATTTGCTAAAAAAGTAAAAATAATATTTCGTTATAAAAATTCATTTTTTAGAAAATTCAAAATTTAATAAAGGTCTTGTCACGATCTTATTTAGGATCCATCCGCCACTGTTATTGGCACAGTGAGGATATTGTTATTCATTAGAAGGATCTTAAGAGATAGTCACTCTACATTGTGTCGTCGATACCGTTTCTCATACAAGGCCAGGCGGAAGTCAGCATGCAGTACATGCGAACATTTCCACCGACACTTATTTGGTCAGCCAGCAACCTTCCAAGGATCCTCCATAGCAATCGGCATTGCATTCATCAAGCGAGATGCCAACATCTGCTAGAGTTGCATATCACCATTTTAAAAATCGACATTAAATGTGAGATCCAGATAGCTCAGTGATCTAGAGTAGTTGCCCGGAAAGCGAAAGAATCGATTCTTTTTCCAACCATTTGCATCTCACATATTTTTCTAGTTCACAAATATTGTTTTCTAGCAATTATTCTTTAAGCTAAAAAGTGTGTGAATGCTCTATTCACATTATATGTTTCGATGCCATTGCCACGGATAGATTCTGTCGCTCATTGGCTGAATGTGCATACAGACACTTCTAACCTCTTAACACATACCCTTTATTTTTACTAGAAGATACCGAATCCGCAAAGAATTTTAAAATTTTCCATTATTTTCAGAAATTGATGTCCAATATACCGTTAACTACAAATCTTTCATATTCAAAACACATTGTTTTGTATTATTTTCAATTTCGCTTATATTTCTGTAACGTCTATATTTTATCATGTATCTATCATTATTATAAGCAGAATGGGCTATGTAATAATCTTATTGGTCAAATTATTGCCGGCTTCGATTCGATTGTTATGAAAACGTGGCTACTTGGAAAAGACGAAATGATCATAATTTTTCGTAAATTCTCGGAACATTCGGAGATTTGTGGAGATTCGTGACATATAAGCTTCTTGGAGCCGATGGACACCAATTTCTAATCTTACCGCCGTCTTGACTAATTGGACGTTTGTGCAAGTTTACGCAATAAAAAAAATTATTAAATCAAGAGGAAAAGTTTCCACTTTATCGCTCTTCAATGAGCCGTGGTTGTAACAAAACAAAGTTAAAGGTTTATGCCTTGACTTGCTGCTTTGTCGCCCGTGGAACGTGGAATTAATACATAAGAAATCAAACATGCGTATAAGAAAAATGAATTAAAGATCTTTTATAATTTATTATTAAATTATGCTTTATATTTACTAATATACTAATTCCAATGACATAAGCTTTTAGCTATTTCTACAGCCGATAATTTAAAAATTGTATAAGGCGTCTAATTTGTGTATCCAAATTCAATTTAATAAATTTTATTTATCTGAGCTACGAAGATATTTTGTCGTACTTTGTATAGTTTTAATTTTATCATTTTTCATATAAAACAAAAAATTTACAATTAGAGAAAAAGATTATTGAGACCTCAAATATGATGCAAAATGTTGTTTGCTTTATCTTTTTACCAAAAAATTAATAATATATACACAGAAAAAAAGTAAGAAAACTAAATAGCTTTCCGCACGTATTAGTACAAACTGCTGAAATTGTACTTCCATTGTTTTTTATGTCCTATGCCAATACATGACGTATAATTAATTTAAGATATACAATTCGATAACATTAAATATTTTTTTACAATGCAGAAGTATTCTAGAAAAGATAAAGTATTCTAAGAAAAGATAAAAACCGAAATGTACAAAGCAAATATTTGTTCATCGTTGTTGCTAACAAAAGTTTGAGATCTAATTTATTGATAAGATTATTTATGTATTCAAATTAAATATGAAATAACATATAGTATCGAATTAAGTAAAAATTTTATGAAAAAGGAGGGAGAAAGAGTAGTGATAATTTTTTTGGAATAAAAAAAAATAAAATTAACACAATACATTTTACATAAAGGAACATAAAGTCGGATTAAGTTGTTACGAATTTAAAAAATCGACAAAAATTTATTTCCTATAATTGGGATATAAACTAAAATAATTTTTATGAAAATATGTACAAATTTATCACATATTAATTTTTAAATATATAGCGTATATTAAATATGATCATAAAATTTTAAATATATTTTATAATATATTGTTTCTTAAATCATTTCTATCTATTGATAATGTTTTATCGCATTCTAAAAGATAAAAGGAAATCATATTTAAATTTGTTTACTTAGAATATGCATTATCTAGAAGAATTATGTATGTGTCGTATAATTCTCTTTTATCTGAATAATATATAGATTACCGTAAAATGTTCATACGTTATGTAAGAAAACGTTGAATATGTCCAAAATGTGTAAATAATTTGATATTTATTTTTGTTATTTTTTTCCGTGTCCTACAACTTGATAGGAGAAAATATATTGCGATATAATATTCTTTACAGATATTTTTGCTATCACATATATTTGCACATACATTTATATATATTATTTATATATTTTATATATTATATATTATTTATATATTATATATTGCGACGCCGTTGCCCACCTCGAGAACGTCGATTCCGAGGAGATACCGTACAAGCTTTAGCCGATACGATAATTAGATTTATAATTTCTTAAAACGGTATCTTAAAAATACGGTAGCGTACGGTATCTTAGAAGTCTCCCCGAAGGAGAATGAAATTGGGCGCCAAGCGCGGTATTTCCGTGTCATGATAACGGTACGGTAATGATAAGGTCCGATAACCCAGAGCTCAGTATGTGATAGAGGGGCAGGATTCTTTGTGAATTAGACAGAGAACGCTAGATGATTTTCAGGAGAAAGAAATAATCGACACACAATTTATCTTAATTACAATTATTTAAAATATATTGAACAGTTGTGATACAGAATAAACGATGTAACAGAGATAAGAATAATATAATAGATAAGATTCGATAGATAAAAAAAATAAAAGAAAGAAAAGATGAATTCCGGAATATAAAACAACTGACAATATGAGTTTGAAAGACAAAGAAATTAAGATTTATAACGGATGACACGAAGGTCAAATGTAATCGTAACGAAAACGATCTATTTATAATGCATGACTATAAGACAACGATGAGAGCGATATGCAAACGAATGTCTCACGAACCGCGATGAGAAAAATCAAATAATAATTAACGGCGAAGTAATCTGTAATATTCGAGATATAATAGTAATTCGGATTTCGGAACACGCTCAGAGGCACGAGCCTCGCCACAAGATTTCGATATAAAGTGAATTAGGCTTTCTATAATAATCGGCGGTAATTAGCGGCAATCAATTAAGATATAAGAATCACGATCAGAATATAGCAGACGCGTACGATTTCGGAACACATTCGGAGGCACGAGCCTCATGCAAAATTTCGATATAAATCAAACTAAACTTTATATAATATTTGACAGTAATTTATGATACTGATATTCAAAAGTGACTGATAACGAGCAAAATATAATAAGTGAGTATGATTTCAGCATACATTCAGAGGCACAAGCCTCATAAAATATTTCGATATAAATCGAATCGAATTTTTTATAATAGTCGGCGATAATTTGCGACAATAAATTTCATATATAACAAAGGTTATTATTAACGGTAATTTCAAGTACACCGGCACGAGTATTGTCTCGTATTCTTTAACGGTCTTATCACGACCTTTCGCACTCGGCGAAAACAAACTTAACTCTCGAACGAGATAATCCAAAACGAACGTTAATGGACATAAAAATTCAAATGGAGATTTCTATTCTCTATACGATTTATATAGTTCTTGCCGAGCAGATTTCGCATATACGGTAACTCTTGCTCGCAAAGAAAGTTTCACGCAAATCCCGATATTCTCTACGTTATACGGGACGGCTGGAATTTCGTCACCACGTTAAGGCTCACAATTCGGCACGAAACGTAACGGTAGAACAAAATACGGTACGAAAACGATATGGTACGATACGGTACGGTATGAAATGAACGGTACGGCAAACGACTGTCGGCACGAACCCCCTGAGAGAGACAAATCCGCGGTGTCAGCTGGCGTCCGGTAATGAAATGCGAGAGAATCACACAGGCTTTCTACAATACGACGGTACGAGATAACCGTCCTGCGACGGTATTCAGAATTTTCTGACGCCAGCTGCTCCCGAGAGAAAATCGTGCGGCTACCTATGCGGCGACTTACAATTATTCGGCGGTGGCGTCCTAGGTGGGTCGTCTCCTCGTGGTCAGAGAGTCAACTTATCGCTATCAGGGGTTACCGAACAGCATTAAAATATATACCATACTGGAACGAGCACGTCTTTGTTCTCGACCGGTCAGATGGAGATAGCTGTTCGGACCCGGATCTCTCTATCTAACCAACAGTCTCGGTTACGTGTTCACAGCTACTATTAGTTCTACAAACATTCGCCTTCATAAAAAGAAAATTTTATGCTTTAAAATGAAATTGTTGGATAATTATAAAATTTATATGTTGAAATTTATTTTTATATTATAAAATTATTTAATAAAAACAATGTATATTGTTTAATAAAAATTGTTAATATATAACATGTATGTATACATATATATTAAATAAAAAAACTTAATACATTTAAACACTTCTATATTTTATTTGTTTAAATATTATAATTTTGTTACATTTATTAATTATAATATCACAATTAAATCACAATTGAAATTAAAGTAAAACAAAATTAATATACATTTAAAATAAAATATATAATTAAAATAAAATCAAATAACAAATCACAATTGCCTCAAATTAAAATATTGCACAATGCACATTGTGACTAAAGAAAAACGAAGCAAAATAAAGATGAACAAGAAGCGATTATACGTGACTAAATAAAATAGTTTTATGCAATTTTGCGCGTTTTGTTCCACGTTCTTTTAAATGTCGTTCTGTTATTTTATTTTTTTACAAAAAGTCAAAATGCGAAGTTTTATATACTTCATTGCTATTACTTTAATTATTTGAATTTCATGCAAATCTTCACTTCCCGTATTATCAAGAAGAGGATGTTCAGGTATAAATAATTGTTTTATTTTAGGCAATAATAATTGCATGACTCTGATTACAATATTTTGTTTAAAATGATTATTCTGTATGTGACCTGAAGCCAATTCTATTTTGAAAGCTTTTTCTGTAGTTTGAACAATTTGAAATGCTGTATTTGATGGATAATAAAGTTCTCCTCGATTAACAAAAGAAGTGAATGAATTGTATTATTATTGATATTAATTGCATAAGTATGAAATGTATTACATCTTTCCATATTTCTTTCTATTAAAATATTTATGCAATGATGGCAATGTATTTCAGTAAGAAGTGTACGAATAATAGAACCTGTTATATAATATAAAATATTTTGTTGAAGAAACGATAAATTTACATTATCTATTGAATTTGATAGGGCTTGCAATTCTTCTTCATTTATATTTATGCAATTATCATCATGTATTGTACGTTTTGGCGTTCGAAATTTTAAAATAGCAGGTACTTCGTAAGTGTCACCTAAACAATTTGCATTAAAACTAGCACGTACAGAATTACGAAACAAAAGTTGCCGTAAAGCCCATTTAAACTGTAATACATTAGGATTATCATTCCATCCATCCCGTCCTCTTATGCATGAAAAAAATAATTCTAAATGATCTTGAGAACACTTATATGCTAAAAAATATCGTAAAGCGTTTACTTTTTTGTACAATAGATCGTGTGCTAAATTGTAAAAACTTTGACAATTTATAACAAATCCTAATGCAAAGGTACTTCGAGAATGGACAAAAATATTAATGTCATTCATTTTTAAACCTGAAATGTATGTGATGCTATCATCAAAAAATTGTTTGACTAATTTTAAGTTGTTAATCGTCATAGGTGACTTAAAACCTGTACCAAAACCGTTTCCTGTATTCATCGTGTCAAATAATCTATCAATGACACGAATTCTGTTGTTGCTTCACTATTTATAGAGTTTTTATCTCCACTTGTTCTAAGAAAATCTATTGCATCAGCAACACTACTACTTAATACCTGTGCTGCCGAACGTACATTCATTTTCTTATTTGAAAAATTAACGTGATTATAACTTAATTTATTAGCAAGTTTTAAATCTGCTTCTTCTTGAATTGTATGCAGTTTTTTTATATAACTGAATGAGATTAAGCCAGCTTTAGATGAAATATTTGTTTCTGCTAAGGCATTACGTGCTAATTTAACCATGTGACATGGATCCATTATACAATAAACATTTGACTTATTTTGTGGATGTTCAAAAAAGGTTTTCATATTGTCAGTAGATAGATTACATCCAAGTAATTTAAACGTTGAAAGGTTTGTTTTTGTTCCATCACATGTTAATGAACGTACTATTACGCCTACTTCATATAATTTTTCAATTGCACATTTTATTAGTTGTGCTTGCATATTTGCATTTATTTTGTTAATAAAAAAATATGCAATTGGGCATTTAAACTTATTTGTATATGAAACTATTTGAAAAACTAATACTTCTGTAGCTAAATCTTGAGAATCAATATTTAAGATATCACCATAATCAACATAGCCTCTGTTTTTATCGGTTTTTATATCATGTATAATTTGAGTACGAATTGCCATTGAGTCAAATATTAAAGCTACATCTTTCAAAAATTGCTTTTGTGGTATTTCTGTTTCTAAATATTTAAAAATTTCCGAAAGAAAACCTACTTCACAATTATAATTTCCAAGCCATTTTCGTAACATCGACGGATGTGGTAAACACAATGTTTCTCGAAGCGTGTCATATCCTTTAGGACTATAAAAATATAGTGTTAATGCAAATTGTTTCATTTCTTGCGTGTATCGTCTTTGCGTTGAAACAACATTATTATTATGATATTCATTTAAAATAATTTGTAACTTAGAATCTAAAATTATTCAATAATATTTTTTCCAGATCTGTGTTATGTTCATGATTCGTTTTTAACGTTTCAATAATGTTCCGTGTTGTTTTAATAGTTTTTTCTCGACGATGTAAACGTTTTTGTAAAATGTGTATTTTTTTCAATAATTCACCTTCTCTTCGCTCTTGTTCTCTTGCCGTCTTTATTACAGAATTTTTATTATTAGAATTTTTCACTTTATTATTAGAATTAAGCATGCAAATATCCATTTGTTCATCCACTTGTTTATCTAATATTTTTTTAGTTGTTTTTCTCTGCCAAAATCAAATAAATATTTTATACACACATGCACATATTAAAAATATTAAGATATATATTTAAAGCTATCACACACATCTGTACGTAATGTTACAAATGCCTTAAAGCGTTCTTTCACTGCTTTTCTATTTATTGAAAAGAAAGAGAAAAAGCACATTTCAAAGCATTTGTAACATAAAATAAACTCCAGTCTCTTTGGATAAACAATATTGTGTATATTCTCAATATTGTTCATTTCTCAGTGACATCAAATGTAGTAGTCTATTGTGAGATGCAATGAATGACAAATTAACTTTAATGACAAATATATTTACTTTTATGCTTCTAATTATATTACATTACCAACTTACAATATGTACAAGTATAAAAGCGTAACTAAATATATATAATATACATAAAGTTGTGTATATATCAATATTCAGATAATTGAAACAATCGCTGAATTGAGTCATTGATACATCCCGATTAATCAAATTTAAATATATATATATATATATATATATATATATATATATATGTATGTATGTATGTGTATTTTATAATAAGAATCCGGACAGAATGCATGTCTAAAATTGGAAGAAGATCCTAGAGATCCTGAAAATGTGTCTGTTATAGACAGTGTCTGGGAAAAAATTTATTTTTACAATAGTAAATTAAAATATTTTCAATAAACCATACCTCAATATTCTCTTTATCTGCATCATTGCTAGATGTTACATAAAAAATTGATGGACTTGCATCTTTGAATAATACATTTCTTGCTGTTCGTAATACATAGGAATCATGTGAAAAATGCTTGCTACATATATATGTGTGCTGTTTTAGGGGCAAGTCCAACAAATCTTTTGGTATAGACATTATCCATTTTTTATATTTTTTATCATCTTTCATAGGAAAGCTGAAAAATATTTATTGAATACTATAAAATTTGCATACACAAGCACATGCACACACGCACATAATTATACATATATATCTATATATATTTATACATTATAAAATATAAATAATATATTTATCAGTTTTAATTTTAATACCTGTGAAAAGAAAATTCCATACTGCTATCGCTGCTGTTTAAACAATTTTTTAGGCCACAAATTTTTCCCATACTTGACAGATAACAAATTGTCCTATATGTATATATGTGTGCGCAAGGCGAATATTTTCAACTAAGAGAGTAGACGAGATAGAAAGAGAAATCCGGTACCGAGTCACTGCCTTGTCTGACCGTTTTGTCGAATGGAGGGGGTAGCCTGTGCGCCTTCCAGTATGGTATATATTTCAATGCCAAACAGTGACAATAACGGAATGGTTCCGCGAGGTCCTCGAGTCCCGCGCCGATTTTCCGCGCATCTCGTCGATTTTCGTCGAAAAAGGGGTCGATACTCCGCCTCTTCAAAATTCGAGCTGCTGGACGGCGGATTGCCCTTTCGCAGGGATTCAGAATTCGACGAAGATGATACCTTAACGGTATTGGCTTCTCAGCTCGGACTCGGCAGGCTGGCTAGGCCGTATCCTCGTCCGTTTTCGGAAATACTTCCGTTCCCAGTCTGCAGCCTGGGAGGTTGTCCGTCATGATTCTCTGCCGTCATTATTCTGAAAATTTTCGGAATTAATATTGCTCTGATACACGACTAGCGGCGGCGCGGGATCTCGATACGTGACCTGTTTTTGAGGAAGCCTCGGTTCATTCTTCCCTTCTTCGTCTCTTCTTTTCGGTATCTATGGGATCTCTCCACACATTGCGGTATTGCACGCTTGCCCAGGTCGCCGCACTTCGCTCAAGAACCTTAAGTCTATACTAAAATTAATCTTAACGGATAATTATAGTCTCCTCTCAGGCGCGAGGGACGACCCCGCGCACGTTTTTTCCCCTCGGCGGGGTCACAGTGACGTTACTCAAAAGCGTCACGTCACAATATATATATATATATATATATATATATATATATATATACAGGATGTTTGATTCGTGAGGGACCAAACGAAAAGTGATGATAGATTGAATCAAACTAAGAAGAAAAGTCCTCTACCATTTTGCAACATTCGCAATACTTATTAAGTAATAAGCAAAAATGTCCCGGCGTATGAGAAGCGGTAGACCGCACGCATCGAGCGGCTTATTACTTTTTTTGCTTAGTACTTAATAATTATTGCGAATTTTGCAAAATGGTAGAGGACTATTCTTCTTAATTTGACCCAATCTATTATCACTTTTCGTTTGGTCCCTCACGAATCGGACACCCTGTATATATATATATATATATATATATATATATACAGGGTGACCCATTTTAACTTAGACAGCCAAATAACTCGAAAAATAAGCACACTACGAAAAAATGGTTAGAATCAAAATTTCGTCATTTCGAGGGGGACGTACAATGATGTTAAAATCAGCTCCCCCACTCCTCCCCCTGGGCGGTGAGGGGGGGCAAGTTTGAAATCTTAAATGGAACCCCCTATTTTTCATTGCATATTCTTGTAGCTTATCTCGAGAGCTTTCCAAAACACTATAATTAAGTACCTTTTTATTAAGTACTTTTTGAGTTATAAGGCTTAAAATAATTTCTTAATTTTACATAAACCATAAAATATCTAGTAAATCATTCATTTTTCGATTATCTTACCTTCATACTTTTATGTACAAAATAATGAGAGGAATTGGTGTAAAGAAAACATACAGTTGTTTTTAAGAAAAAATATGGAATTGTTAATTGCAAATTACATATTTTTTCTTAGAAACAACTATGTGTTTTCTTTACACCAATTGATTCCTCTCGTTATTTTGTACATAAAAGTATGAAGGTAAGATAATCGAAAAATGAATGGTTTACTAGATATTTTATGGTTTATGTAAAATTAAGAAATTATTTCAAGCCTTATAACTCAAAAAGTACTTAATAAAAAGGTACTTAATTATAGTGTTTTGGGAAGGTGTCTCGAGATAAGCTACAAGAATATGCAATGAAAAATAGGGGATTCCATTTAAGATTTCAAACTTGCCCCCCCTCACCGCCCAGGGGGAGGGGTGGGGGGGCTGATTTTAACGTCATTGTACGTCCCCCTCGAAATGACGAAATTTTGATTCTAACCATTTTTTCGTAGTGTGCTTATTTTTCGAGTTATTTGGCTGCCTAAGTTAAAATGGGTCACCCTGTATACACAGGGTGTCCGTCGATTTTCGACCTTTACGAAATAAGGAAGTAGATTGGCATAAATTAAGAAGGAATGACCTCTACCGTTTTATGATTGTCGCAATAATTAAGGAAAAATTAAATAAAAAAGATCGGCCAATCTGCGAAAAGATACATTCAGATTGGCCATCTGAATAAAAGCGCGCGACGACAAGAGTCGTTCCACTGTAATCTGATACTATGAGCGCGGCGAAGCGGTAGGCGGGTCGCTCTTCGAGACATGATGATGGTTTGCGATATATCGCAATACCGCGCCGAAAAATGACCCGTCCCTCCTTTTCGTGGCGAGAAAATGATGCGCTATCATTTCCACACCATCTTGCAGCAGATAGCATGGTGCGCTTTTTTTATAGTGGTTTCCCCCATAAGCCTATTTCACTCTCAATTTGAAAATTATTCAAAATGCTATTACTATGCGCTGAATGTATCTTAAATGTAAAAAATTGATGGTGACAGTACCTTTATAAAAATTGATCCGTGGTTGAAAATCCCTCGATAAAATGTATTGCACGCGTTGATAACGATACGTTGATAAAATGTTTCAAGAATCCTTTCTTCATCTCGTACAGGAAGGCGCATTGCTGGACCGGTTATCCCGATATTATGCACACCCAGTTTCACATAATTATTGCACACGTTACAGCAGCACGTAAATACAACTGAGCGAACAGTGAAAATGAAGTATACTCTGCAGGAATATACGGATATGATTGTGGCATACGGACTAGCGGGAGAAAATACTTATCGTGCGGTCGCAATTTATATGGAATCATTTCCCGGTCGTGCACGAAAACCAAGTGACCGTACAATTTTATGTGTTGTGCAACAATTATGTAAAACTGGGCACTATCGTGCATAATATCGGGAAAACCGGTCCAGCAGTGCGCCTTCGTGTAAGAGATGAAGAAAGGATTCTTGAAGCATTTTATCAACGTATCGTTATCAACGTGTGCAATACATTTTATCAAGCGATTTTCAACGGATCAATTTTTGTAAAAGTACTGTCACCATCAATTTTTTACATTTAAGATACATTCAACGTATAGTAATGGCATTTTGAATAATTTTCAAATTGAGAGTGGAATAGGCCTATGGGGGAAACCACTATAAAAAAGCGCACCATGCTATTTATCGCAAGGTGGTGTGAAAATGATAGCGCATCATTTTTTCGCCACTAAAAGGACGGGTCATTTTTCGGCATGGTATTGCGATATATCGCAAACCACCATCATGTCTCGGAGAGTGACCCGCTCATCGCTTCGCAGCACTCGTAGTATCAGATTACAGTGGGGCGACTCTCATCGCCGCGCGCTTCTATTCACGCAGATTGGCCGATCTTCTTTATTTAATTTTTCGTTAATTATTGCGACAATTACAAAACATACAGGTCATTCCTTTTTAATTTGAGCCAATCTACTTCCTTATTTCGTCAAATCGACAAATTATTTCGTCGAAAATTGACGGACATCCTGTATATATACGGTGGGCCATTTTAATCGATGCACTCGAATATCTCGAAAACAGCACTCTTCAGAAAGAAATGTTTCAAACAAAAATTGTAGGGTGTGAAGGGGGACATAAGATGGTAGCATTGGTTTGACCTTGGAAAGTCATTTGAAGGTCACATAAAAGTCACCTTCAATTTCTTAAATTGAACTTACTATTTTTCATTACATATTCTTGTAGCTTATCTCGAGAGCTTTCCAAAACACTACAGACAAATGTTTTTTCATTAAATACTTTTTGAGTTATAAGGCTTCAAAGTTTGCAGTACTTCGATATAAAATGCAAAATATCTCGTAAAATATTTAGTTTTCGGTAGTCTTACCCTAATACTTTTATGCACAGGATAATGAGACAAAACTATTGGTGCAAAGAAAACGTATGATTGTTTATGATAAAAAATGTGTAATTTGCAATGCACTTTTTGTTGTTGCATCTTGTGCATAAAAGTATTAGGGTAAGACTACCGAAAACTAAATATTTTACGAGATATTTTGCATTTTATATCGAAGTACTGCAAACTTTGAAGCCTTATAACTCAAAAAATATTTAATGAAAAAACATTTGTCTGTAGTGTTTTGGAAAGCTCTCGAGATAAGCTACAAGAATATGTAATGAAAAATAGTGGGTTCAATTTAAGAAATTGAAGGTGACTTTTATGTGACCTTCAAATGACTTTCCAAGGTCAAACCAATGCTACCATCTTATGTCCCCCTTCACACCCTACAATTTTTGTTTGAAACATTTCTTTCTGAAGAGTGCTGTTTTCGAGATATTCGAGTGCATCGATTAAAATGGCCCACCGTGTATATATATATATATATATATATATATATATATATATATATAAAATACAATATTAAAATAAAAATATATATCAGGGTTATCTGTTGTTAAAAAAAAGCGTTTGTAGTTTACCTCGAGAATTTTTCAAAACACTATAATAAAATATTTTCTCATTCAGTACTTTTCGGGTTATGAGGCTTGAAATAATTTTTTAATTTTTATCTAAATCATAAAATATCTAGTAAAATATTCATTTTTCATTTATCTTACCTTAATACTTTTATGTACAAAATAATAAGAGGAATCAATTAGTTTAATGAAAACACATAATTGTTTCGAAAAAAAAAAAATGTAATTGTAAATTATTAATTGTAAATTTATATGTATACAGGGTGTCCCATGTGTCTTCCGTCCAAAAAAAATTATAAGTAGACCTCGTTAAACTGAATTAAAGTCCTGCACTTTGAACAAAACCACGTAAAATTTCAAGATATTAAAGAAGATCGGCCAATAAATGCACGATCCGCGTGGCTAGGCAGTCGGCCATTTCAGCGAGGACGGCCCACCGCGGTGAATATCAGGTGGCAGCGAAAAATGAAATAAAAATGATTTTTATAAACTTATAAACACCGTATTTAAAAATCTAAAAGTTTTTTTCGCTTTCTTAACATTCTTTTGAATAGTTTTAGAGTTCTATGTTAACATTTAAAATAATTTTGATTAAATACAAAAAAGTCGAATCCGAAAATATGGTGCGTTAAAGTTCACACATCGCACCAAATCATGTAAAATCAATTAGTCTTCGGAGTTGTAGTTTATTTTATAACAGTTCTGTAATTCTATGTCAAATATACCAATAAAATTCTATTCAAATTAAAAGCAAAAAATCGATTTTTGATAACTCGAATTATAATTCGTATAAGAAAAGTGAGATTGGATCGTATTTTTATGATATTTTTGCGATTTTGTAAGAAATTTTAATCACTTCCTAGTCAAATAATTATTTTTCAAATAAAAACTATTTTTAATATTTAAAGATCAATATTTATTTAAAATATTATAATTATTTTACAGAGAAAAAGTTATAAGATTTGTAAAATTAAAGGAATACTGCGGAAAATTCTTATCAAACTAGAGTTTCTAAAAAAATTTTTTTTTAATAAATGTTGATTTTTAAATGTAAAAAATGATTCTCATTTAAAAAATAATTATTTGATTAGAAAATAATTATAATTAAAAATTATAATTAAAATTTTTTACAAAATCGAAACGGCGAAACGGGAAAATGGCGATAGTGGTAACCACAAGTAGCGGCGCGTTATTCCTCCCTTCGCTGCGCGCCAGCAGGCAATCTGATACGATGGGCCATGATATAGCTCGAGCGGTCGAACGCTTTTCTCATTCGTCTGACATCAATAATTAATATTACTATTATTATTGCAAAAAACGTTACATGGAATAGGATTTCTTTATTTAATTTACTGCGCTCTGCCTCCTTACAAGAGCGTGAGCTCATTCTCAGGGATACCTTATATATGTATGTACATATAATTCAAACTTAAAATTAAACAAGTTATATCACGCATGTAATAACATAAATTAAAAATAATTAAACCGAATTATTAATTATTTTATACACCATACAAAATATTACAATATAACAAATTAGTAATATTAGTAATATTAGTAAAATATACATATATATTGATGTTATCGGGATATGACTATTATTATTCTAATTTATAGATATTTTCTCACCTTTGTTTCTTAAAAATTGTATTAAAGCTTAAATTAAGTCTGATTAATTTTAATTATCCTCAAATGTATTCCATCCTTTGGTGCTAATAGCAATGATTTAGAATTATTTATGTAGGGTATTTGCGTTTTATCGCAAATCTCAACTTTATAATTTCGTAGTATCTTTATAAGACCAATCTTTGTTTGATGAATACCAAAGCGAGCACCTGAAAATAAAAAAATTATTATTATGAGAAAAATGTCTCGATTAAAGTAATGTTACATGTGACATCAAAGCAAACAGAACTAAAGGAAATGTATTTAAATCTATGTATCTCATTTTACCAATGCAATTTCTTGGCCCATCACCAAAAGGTAGATAATGCATCGGATGTCTGGTTTGTATTGCTTCATCATTGAATCTTTCTGGATCAAAAACATCTGGCTTCGGATAAATATCCGGATCTCGATGAATTCCAAAAACCGGAATGAATACTTTTAGATTTTTTGGTATATTAACTGTGCTACCACCAAAAGTATAACTTGATGTCGAATGTCGCATAAGATGTGTCGCTACTGGATATTTACGTAAAGTTTCTGCATTAAGAATGTAAGCAAAAATTATATATTTGAAAATTTGTTCGTGAAATTTAAATTATCGAAATGAGTGTGTACATATATGTTTTAAAAATTATTAACAATAAAACTAATGATATTATATTGATACTGAAAATTAATAGCAAATCTTTCTATGATAATTATGCATAAGAAGGGCCCACCTTCGCACAAATGTGTCACCTTCGCACATATGTGTTGACATATGTTGTCAAGGTCATATCTCTAATCAATATTCTGAAGATTTTAGCCAGCGGTCGTTGTTTATTAAAAAGTTATTAACAAAAAANGAGAGCGAATAAGTAGGTGAAAATTATATAAAGAAAACAGTTATAATAATTTAATAAAAAGAGGCGCAAGAGGTGAGAATGTACAGAGTTTCATATAAATAGTCTGGAAATATATATAAAAGTAAAAATAAAAATAAAAATAAAAATAAAATAAATATAAAGTTAGCGGACGTTTCGGCTCTTGGTTCGAGCCTTCTTCAGCGCAAAGATATAATATTAATAAATAATAAGGGACATACAATAAATCATAATTACTAAAACGAAGAATAAATAAAAGCTATGACAAGATCGCAGAGACGTAACGTTAATAATCGCTTGTCAAAAATATTGGTCTTCATGGTAAAAATGTGGAAGCCTTTATTACGCGAATGTAGAACAGTGGCTCGACAACAGTACCAGGTGCAGTCTAAAATTGGCAATCGACAAATTATAGATATTAATATTATAAAAGGATGAAAGAAATAAAGGTACTTACTAAGACACTGTTCTACTGTGGAAACCAGAGATGGAAAGCATACAACAAGCTTCAACATAAAATCGGTTACTGTCAAAAATGACGGTGAGAGGCACTTATATATACTGGAACGTGACTTTTCATATTTTCGGTAGTTTGTTTATAATGTCATGATACAAAGACGGTAAACTTTCTGTGTCTGTCTGCAAATTTAAACCATTCTTCCTGTCTTTTTATAAAAAGCATTTCTGAGATGAGTCTTTTATTATAAAAAGAAGTCTCATCAAGAACCTGAACGTCATTCCAACGAAATCATGATCTCCTTGTAGTCTATGATTAGTAATGACAGAACGAGTAACAAGATTTTATTAATATGTGATCTATGCTCTGAAATTCTTGTCTTTAACATTCTCGATGTTTGGCCGACATATGAGGCATCGCAATCGGAACAGTTAATTTTGTAGACTACGTTTGTTTTACAGTTAGTGGGAATATAGTCTTTATGAACTTTAATAAACTTGTTTAATTTATTCAGGCTGGTATAGGCAAGTTTTACGTTCAAGTTATTTGTGACATCTCTGAACTGCTCAGTGACACCCGGCAGATATGGAACTGTAAAAAAACGTGGAGGAATCGTTTGATGCACTATGATCATTGTGAACACGACCATTAATCAAAAATCTTAGCCGTTGATTCATGACTTGAAAAACAAGGCTCAGAGGATATCCATTGTCCAGAAGGATCCTTACAAACAAGGTCAAGATTTTTATAATGAAAAGTCGGATGTGATAAAGAGGAAACCCTGTCCACGAGACCGATTATCGTGCCCTTCTTTTGGCAAAGTGGATGTTGAGAGAAATAATTCAGATATCTGCCCGAAAATGTGGATTTGTGAAACCAGTCAAATATTAGAACGTTATTATTGACAATTATAGTTACGTCCAAAAAGTTGATTTTTCTGGTCAACCTCTAGTTCACAAGTAAATTGTAATCTGTCATGAAAGGAATTAAAAATGGAAAGAGTCGAGTCAATTGAGTCTGTAGGAACAGTCATTAGGATGTCGTCAACATATCTAAAATAAAATCGTGGAGTAAATCTTAATGTATTCAAGGCTTTCTCTTCTAAGTCCTGTAAAACTATGTCAGCTATGATAGGTGATATGGGAGATCCCATGGGGGTGCCGAAAGTTTGTTTATAAAACATGTTATTGAAAGTAAAAAAAAGTGGAGTTTAATACTAGTCTAACTGCATTTAAAAACTCAAATTCAGGCAAACCACATGTGTTCTGAATAAATCTCCATCTGCTCGAGACGCTGGAAAGAGCCAGATCAACCGGAATATTCGTGAACAGGGAAGTCACATCTAGTGAGATTAACACAGAATCGTCATCAATGTGAATATCAGCTAATTTATGTACTAGATCGAAACTGTTATTTATGTGACTAGGAGCGATAGGAAAGTTCTTAATCATGACCTTGTGCAAAAATAATGCAAGGGAATAGAGAGGGCTATTAATAGATGAGACGATGAGTCTGAATGGAATGTTAGTCTTATGGATTTTTGGTAAAACTATAGGCTCTAGGTAAAGTCCCATCGGTAAACAGAAGAGATTTGTAAATGGCATTAGAGATGTAGCCATGATTTTTCCATCTCGATAATAGCTCTCGTAAGCTAGAAATCAGTTTTTTTGTAGGGTCCTTCTTAATTATTGTATAAGTATTCTCGTCTCCAAGTAATTGCTGAACCTTGTTTATATAGTCCGTTCTACCAAGTGCCACCGTAACATTCCCCTTATCTGCGCGTGTAAGGATGAGATCTTTATTCTTTTGTAGGAAATTTTTAGTAATTGAATAGAGGCGTGTCAACCATTCATTTCGTGAATTTCTAGGATAAGAAAAAGAAGGGATGTTTTTAATCACTGATTTCGATTTGTCTCTAATAGAAATTCTTAATTCCGGAGAAAGCTTCATTAAGTTGCATTCAATGTGTTTTATGAATTCCGTAGTTAAATTGGGAATGTTAATGTGAGGAAGGCTAAAATTCTCCCCAAGTTGTAAGAAACTTTGAATTTCCGGAGGAATATATAAGTTCAATAGATTGACAAACCATTTATCCTTAATCTCATTCAAATTAGAATGTGAATTTGTATATATGTTAGGATCAATTAGAATTTCACAGATATTATTTAATGGTAAATTGTTCCTATTGAATGACCATTTAAAGCGCTGTAATGAGGCAGAATCATTATCAAGAATCGAAGGATGTAGATGACAATAGTAGTGAATCGGTTTGAGACTATTAATACTGCGTTGTTTTGAAAGCAAGAAATTAAATTTTTTGTTTAGTCTGTAACTATCATTTAGGTAGAAGCAAAATAAAGGGCGGCTTTGACTATTGAAAAAATAATTATATTCATATTATACTATTTCATTTTTTTAATTTTTCAGATAATGAATTTGCTTATTCATTATTGCGTCAAGCAAAAATATAAAGGTACGCATATGGAATTGCAAAATGTCATACAAGCAGATAATCAACAGATATCAAACAAACAAATTATTTTAATGTTTAATTTATTAATTTAACTATTTAAAATTGTCCATAAGAAATGGACAATTTCAAATAGTCAAATTAATAAATTATATATTTTATAGAAGATAGATTTACAGATGCAAGATATGATGAAGTGAGACATGATAAAACAGAGGTGCAACGCAAATCTGATGAAACTGCAAACTGCAGTACTGAAATCGATACAAAAGGTACAAATTAAAAAAAATAATTTTCAAACGAAAGAACATGTATTATATTTATTATATATATTATATTTTATCTGTTTAACATTATATTCTATATCTGTTTAATATTTTATATTCTATTTTTATTTGTTTACAACATATATGGACACGAGCCGAAAATAGTCTTCTACTATCTAGCCATGTAATAAATGTGTTAAGATGTGAATATAATGCATTCACAACTTTCTGAACACATCTCCAAGCTGTTGCTTTTCCTACATCGAATCGATTAGCAACGCACCTAAAATTAATAATAGAATAGAATTAATAAGTAAATATTAAATATTATGTATTTATTACATCTTGTTATATACTTTATTAAATATATAATGTCTTTAAAACATCTTATGTCCCGATTTTGATCATTGGTACTATCTTTTTATCCAAAATTAAACTTACCTGTATGAATTAGGAATTGCCATCATTCATATTTCTAACAATATTGTTTTTTCTGAATTGATAGTATGTCTACCTCGTCCTTCGGATTGTTTTATTAATTGTGAACTTAATAGTTCCAACAAAAATATAAACGTTGATCGACTAAGACTGAAAAACACATTAAAATAAATTAAAACAACATGGAACTTTTATATAAGATTATAAATTATAAATTATATTTCTTCACAAAAATATTGATTAAATATTAATTAAATAATCAATAATAATTTATCAAATAAATTACTTATCGAAAATGACTTTTAAAATCACTATCTGTACATTGTCAAACTACGATATAATTATTGCAACGTACTTTAGGTACGTTGGAACGTTCGAAATAATTTTTGGAACGTACTTAAGAACGTTCGAAATAATTTTTTATTAAATTTATAACTTCTTCCAAATCAGATTCATCTCTTGAGTCTTCATCTGATTCTTCAAATATTAAATTTAAATACGTTCCAATCAAAAATTTTTGTCGCCTGTCCATATTTCTAAGTTAAATAGATTACTCAATTGCTAGTACTGCCAGCACTGAAGTAGCGTTCCGTTTTGAACATCGTATAGCCATACTTACAGCCATGGACGTAAGAAATACTGGACAGAGTATATTGCTGCGGGATGAAGCTCAAAGGGTGAGGGGAAAGAAATGTCTACTGCAATGGAATATGAGGCATGTAAGATGGCGACGGATATTAATTTCACGTAGTGTGATATTTTTGAATTTCTTAATATTAAAAAATGATTCGGAATAACACAGCGATTTCAGATGATAGATGATTTCACGGAATCTCTCATATTTTATTCGATTTACGTCCGTGCGACGTGAAAATAGACACTAAATCTGATGCATCTAAGATGGCCGCGACAATAAACCCCTTACCCCTTACCTTTCACTCCCCTCGTCTAAAAGAGTACTTTATGCTCTGTCCAGTATTTCTTACGTCCATGCTTACAGCACGCTTTCATAAAATGGAAGGCTGTTGATAGCATGCTTTATGACGTAATGATTACAGCGCTGGCAGTGAATTTTAGAACACAGCCGTGGAACGATGGTGGTGGAGAGTGACAGTGACACGCGGAAGAGAGTCGCAGTATGGGAGTCGAACAGTGTAGTCATGGTCGAGTGATAAACCTTGTGATAAGATTAAACGAGTATATTAGACTCAGTGTCTCAATTATTAAGAAACCTTAATTGGCAAATTCCTTTCTCTGAAGCCCTCCTATCCTGACACCATCATCCAAGATATTCCTTCGTATAACCTATACCAGGTATCTTACAGTACAAAGGAAGAGAAGTGACATATTAAAAGTTATTATCAAGCGGCACAGTAGCGTCGCGACGCCAAGTACATTTATTAATATTATATAAAAATACAGATTTGTGACACTTAACGACAACCAAGTGGACTGTGATTCATCAATTAAAAGGTAATATTGCGAAAAATATGTCTCATTTTAGATGATTAGATGTTTAGATGTTTAGATGATTAGATGTTTAGATTAGACATATTATATTAATAAAAAGAATAAACAGTTATTGTTTTGTGGAATATAATTGTGTAATTTATAATTATGTGTGTGTGTGTGTGTGTGTGTGTGTGTGTGTGTGTGTGTGTGTGTGTGTGTGTGTGTGTGTGTGAAAATTATTGATTTAATTAAGTTTTTAACATTACATATCTACTATTATAGATTTCATTCTTATTGCATTACTTTTTATTATAAATAAAATTTTATTTCACATGTATGATTATAATGATGTATATAATGTTCACATGTATGAAGAATCAAAGAAAATGTTAGAAGTTCAGATTTAATTAAAATAAAACATGCTGCAATTCTGTCATTGTATTAGATTTCTATCTTAAACAAAATGAAATTTAAAGTAAAATTTGGCCATTACTATGTTTAAAGAGAAAAAGAAGAAGTTTATAAAAATTCGAAAACTGAAACAAATGTATGTAATGAGTAAATAATAATAATATAATAATAATAATTACCATAAAAGTTTAATACAAGTTTGTTGCGTATCGTAATAAATATTATTTTATAAAGCAGCATCAACATATATAGTACATCCTCCCACAACTTAAAATATATTTCCAATTTTACAAATATGATGTTACCCTTTTCCTACTTCCATGCAACATATAAACCTTATTCTTCTAAATAATCTATTCATACAAGTTATGATTGATGACGCAGAAAAAGATTATTTATGTGTACATAATTATATATAAGTATGTATATCTATAACTCTATAGTTCTATAGTACATAATTATTGTATACACACACACACACACACACACACACACACACACACACACACCACTCATGTATGTGTGTGTGCGCGCGCGCGCGCGCGTGTGTGTAGAAATTTACATATTTTACTGTGCAACCATAATTATAGTTACAATCATAATTATAGACATTTATTACATTTGCCTGCATAGACACAAATATAGTTATGCAGAAATATTCCCTACATGTATAATGATAATTAGATATATATATATATATATATATATATATATATATATATATATATAAGTAGCTGCTACGCTGAACAATGTGCTAATGAAATTAGCAGCGCTAAGTTTTTAACTAAAATTTTTTTATATGTATTAATTTTTAATTTTTATATAAATTTTTATTTTTATTTATTAATTTATAATTTTTAATTTTTTTAATAATTTTTAATTTTGTATTTTGTATTATCATTTTCTATTTTTTTAAATTAAACTTTTCAGGATATATGCATATGATTATTGCAATGTATGTGATTGTTCATTTTTTCAATTTGATTTTTTATAATAGATATATTACAATTTATTTAATATCATTTTTCTTTTAATATCGAAAATAAAAAAGAAATATGTCTATTTTATAGTAAAAATTTTTATTCAATTGGCGCAACTTTTTAATATTATTTGTAGGAAATTAAAACAATTATTTTGTACAATTTTTTTTAGTACTAAATGACACGAATTTTTTCAATTACTATCTTAACAAATAACTGTTTTAATTCGACTGACAATGAGCAATGTGTGAAATTCTCAAGAATTATCTCGATCCCTTCCTGCGTAATGACGAGCAGAAAACGAAATCATTTCCGTGTGCATGCTCATCAGTCTACTAGGGACAACGTGTTGAGGCATATAGGAAAGCGAGGAAACTTCGCTACAGCGAATTTTCATTTATAGAGAATTTGCGATACCCGCAGAGTTGGTGTAAGTCTTCACGGATTGGTGCAAGATAAGGACAACTTCTATCCCTTTCTTCTGCTGGAAATTGAAAATAAGTACGTACAGATTGTGTGATAATCCGACTCTTCAGCCATTCGTAGCAGCCTTTGCCCTTTTGTAAACGAGATAATGCTTTGCAGAGACACAATGACTATTGATTTCTAGCTATTAATTCTGTAGCAAAACAGTATTCATTTCTTAAAGTTATAATTTGAAAAAGTCTTTATTATACAATGATATATAGAATAATGTGTATATAATACAGTAAGTGTTGTTTACTGTATATGTGATTTTCGTTGCATATTTATGTAGCGTTAAAAAAATGTTATGTATTAGTATTTTGTGAAATTTTGATTTTTTTCTTTAGGAAATATAAATTTATTTTAATGAATATCAAAATATATGAGAGATTCAAATTAATTATCCATTTGATAACAGCTGCTTTAAATATATAAATGTATTATAAATGTATTATATTATAAATATAAGATGATTTATTTATATACATAATTATGGCATATACGAATTAATTTTAAAGTAATATTGTTATTAATATTAACATTGTACATTTATTAATATTGTATAATTTACTGTTTACTTTTTTAATATTCTGTAAGAAATGATATTATAAGTTTTATACGTTTATGCGCGACTTTACATGCAGCAACAAATTGATAGTATCATATATTCAAAGCTGATATATATGTGAAAAATGCGGCTTCAGCATGGTACATGTCCTTCGAAAAGTTTCAACGGGCCAAGGGTGAATTGCAAAGGGCGGTACGAGGCCATTTATTATCCCCATTATCGTGCTTCTGACCTCACTGTCTACTCCCTCAGGACTTGAACATACCTATAACATACAATCCCCTTTCACTCTTGACAATGCTGCCCTTGTCTCACATTCGAAATATAGTCGACAGCATCGATAGTTTTAGAATTATATGTTCAATCGTGTTTTATCGAGCGTTTGTCTGTTTCGCAATCACGACAATTGATAGTAAAATAATTTATAATTACAAGATTCAATATTTAACTGTTAAAAATAACATGTAAGGGGATTATTTTATTTTATAGCTAAATGATGCTTTTCAAACATGGGTTTTTAAAGAAGAAGAAGAAGAGTTTCTTTAAGAGAAAAAAAAGATGTATAATAATTATTAAAAATATTGCAATAACAATTTGTATATCATATAAAATTACGATGATTACACACACACACACACACACACACACACACACACACACACACACACACACACATATATATATATAACATATAATAGTAATAATAACTTTAAATATAATTGCTGCTAACAATATAATTATCATAAATATATATAAATTATATAAATATATTTTTAGTGGCAATTATATTTAAAGTTATTATTACTATGCACAAGGTTATTATTATCAATGTTATAGTAGTAATAATTTTGAAAATAGGAATCTCAACTATAATTTTTTTTATTATGCAATTATTGCCTCTTTTCAGTGCATTTTTTTGTGTAATTTGTCATATACTTATCATTTATTATGATAATGCCTAAATAATCTCCTACTAGTATGCTATAATTTTTATTTTTTACGTACAATGTCAATATAAAATTTATTTTATTTTATGAATATTAATATTTTTACGAATTCCTTACATTACATATAACTATTTATAATGTGTGCATATATCTGTATGTATATATCCGATAACATAAATCTTATTATCTATATCTTTAAAATAACATTCACGTTAATCAATGTCTAATTTTCGAAATGTTCCAGAAACTCCGAATAGATCGTCCGGGTTTATTACAGAATTTGATCGGAGAGATTCGTTAACTTTAACTTTTTCTTCCTTCAGGAACCATTCTCTTCGTTCTATCAATTTTGCTTTCCACATATCTGAAACAATATCAAAGAAATTTGAACATTTTTTAGTATATGTTTTACATTCTAAATATATAATGAATATATTTATTTGTATACAAGAAAAAATGTTTTAAATATACATATAAAATATGTACACACATATAATTCATATAAAATAATTAAAGGAATTCTTAGGTTTAGATATTTAATTAAAAGAATTTTTTGTGAAAATAAAATAATTATTGTTAAGCTACATGAAAATTAAAAAGAGATAATATTTTTTATTACATATAGATTAATATTCAAGTGAAAATGTTATCATTTATTTTTAACATTTCGTTTTAAATATTTAAAATCGAAATAAAGTCACTGATAAAAAAACATATTTTTAAAGAAGTAAAGAATATTGTACCTGATAAAATATTCAGTGATGGTTGTTCACCGCCATATTCTACTGGTAAAAGAGATCTTGGTATAATCCCATATATTGATTCTATTCCGGATGTATAAAGATGTATCTAAAATATTATAATTGCAGTTAAAACTGTATAATTATTCCAATCCATATACACATAAAATACAAAGTTCCTAGTTTTAAATTATATTCGGTTAACATACTCGGTTAAAAAGTTTTGCCTTCATTACTGATTTAACTACTGTCAATAAGACATCAAAAAAACTTGGTGTATTTATCACATAAATTGCTTTCATTCTTGAACCATATGATTCCTATATAGATTGAATAATAAAAATTAATTTTTGTAAAGTATAATTATATGTATTAATTTTTGTAAAGTATATATTATATGTATAGTATATACATATAAGAAATTTTTTTCTTAAATAACAAAAGAATGTCGAGTTTTTTTACTGCAACTGGTGTATACTTCAATACATGACCGAAAGTCAAATTGGTACAATCGTAAATTATAACATCGGAATTAACAATATCTTCCTCTATACGTGTCTCCATTATCATGGATGAATATCTGTAATATTTAAAAAAATAGTATATTTTTATTAATTTTATCTTGATATTTTTACAAAGATGAATAAAAATTTGTATAATATTTATATTTTGGGTATATGTGTATATGTATGTAGGTATATAGGTGTATATACATATATATATATATATATATATATATATATATAATAACAATCAATTATCATCCATCAAATCTATTAAATAATATTATCTATTAAATAATTAAATAATTTGTTGCCGAGTTGCTTCATTTAATAAAAAATATAAAATTATCTAATCTCGAGATGTTGTATAAGAATCCACACGAAAAAAAGGCCAACAATTTTTCCTGTATTTCCTTTTTTATCTCATTTTATCGAAGTTATAGAATTTAGCTTTTCCTTTCGATGTGTACTGTTGAGGGTAGTGGAATCGTAGTAGACTAGAGGAAAAAGTAGGGTGTGAAAATATCTTGTTTCTATCTCATTATCGATAATAGCAAGCACAAGAGAAAAGGACTTGCACATTTAACTTACGCAAAGAGAGAGAGAGAGAGAGAGAGAGGGAGGGGTCAAAGAAAGAGAGAGGGGGGAGGGAGAGAGAGAAGATTTTACAGATCGTGCAGAATAAAGCGAAAGATCGATCCATTGTGATTGGATCAGCTGGATAGTGCGACCCTGTAAAATCGAAATCGCTTTACCTAATAATGTTACATAATAATTTCATCAGTAAATAAAAGCATCGCGTGAATATGAATCATAATATAAAAAGCTTGTAAAATGTTGCATACAGCTCAATTTCTTTTTTTTTTTCTTCTTCTTTCCATCGTTGTTAATTATTGTGTTTTTATATCCGTGCGTGTCCTCTCTTTTAATTTATATATCTTTTTATAATATTATATCATTATATTATCTTAAATATAGCGTTTTTTGAGTGTGCTTTTACAACATCTCGTGACTTGCGCATAAATTCTTTCACAGTTATGTACGATCGTGGAAATGCATGATAAGATTCGATAATTCATAAATTAAAAAAAATATAAGAATATATAATATATTCATGCTCGCATACGCGGCAAGAGAAATAAGTATAAAAAAGTATTTATATAAAATATTTTTTTATAAAATTAAAAAATTTCCTGTTGCATTAATATTGTTTGTTTGTTTGTTGTACTATGCACGTATAATACTGTTTTGTTTGCACATATTATGTATATTACGTTTAACTTGTAGATATACATACTTTATAAGATCATATAGATCAAATACAGAACTGTCGGAATGTAACCACCGCATTATAGTTATTCTATAATTTTCTGGTGTTAATATTGGTAGGGTTACAAATTGTCTGAAAGAAATAAAGAAATATTTGTAACAATACCTCTATGAGTTTTCTTTTTTTCTCTTCTTTTTTTTCTTGAATCAAAAATAATCGATCTTAAATGATTGAGCAAAAAATTAACTATGTATAATAATTACGTATAATTATACTTGTGTGTATATCATTATATTATACTATTATATAAAATTGTCATTAATACTTCTAGTGATATAAAATGTTTTTATGATTTAAAAAAATTTTTAAATATTAATATATTATGTAAGAATCCGACAACTTCGAAGTGTTATTTAAAGACTTACATATATGTATTTACTTTAAACACACACTCGGCCAATGGGTCACGAGTTGTGAAAACCTCCGGAATTAGATTACGAAGAGTATAATGCAAATCCAAGCGTTTCTTAACTTTTTCTAAATTAAATTTTGCATTGTAAATGTAGAACTTTAATCGTTTTTCAGAGATATCTGTGAAGTATAAAATAATGTTGATTATTACATACGATATGCATAAGATTTCATGAATGAAAGAAATCATAAATAAATATAAACAAATAGGTTGGAATCCTTATTATATTTGTCAATATATATTACAAATATGTAACATATTAATTTTGTGAATTATTAATAATTAAACACGTAGCTATGCGATTTGGAAAAGCAATAAAATAATCCACTTTGTGGAAATTATGCGCACAAAAGTTATATACGTATACTAAATATAATAAAAATTAATATTTTTTTTATATTACATACAGTAAAATATATATTCGTAACATAAATATAAATGTGCATATTAATATTAATTTTAAAATAGTTGCCATTTTATATTCTATAATGATCTTGTATGTTGAATTGTTAGTCGGTTATTATTCAGGAGATAGGCGACGATTCATAACATATAATATATATTTATTATAATAAACTAAGAGAGAAAATATTGTTTCTTAAATATTTAATATTTGATTTCTGATCAACTAATTCTTCGCGCATAATTTCTCCTTTTATATAAATTATGTGTATATATATTTTAATTATATTTTTATCAGTACATTTACGAAATATGCTCTTTAGATTTGAAGATGATATGTAATAAATTGACTAATAAGATCTTACTTTTTTTTCTTTAAATTTAAAAATGCAAACCTTCAGGAAGATGAATTTGCTGCTTCAACCATAGTCGAAGTTTAATCAGTAGCTCTTCTAGAAGTTGTTCGTTTCCTCCAGTATCTTTTAATATTTCTTTAAATGAAGGCATTTCTAATTTAATCATCTTTATGGTGGTGTTTATTGTCCTTCACAAAATTAAAGAGGCGCAATCTAAAATTATTAAATATGTTATCCATATGTATAATAATTATGAATATATTATTTTCATCTTTATCGAAATGTTAATATTAATGAAGATAATTATTTTTAACATATAACTTTAAAAACAATACAACTAATATGAATTAAAGAATTATGTTAATAATTAATATTAATTTACATCCATACATACGCACTGTTTAATTGTTCGTTTTAACTGTACGTGGCAGTCGCTTCTCGATTATACTTAAAATTATACTAAAAATCATGACTCATTGAATATGTTGCTGACTCGAATTTTTTTTTTCATTTAATGAGGTAAAACGAAATGAATTAAAAATTGAATTAAAGATATTTTTGCAATTAGAAATACGTGCATCAATTTAATAATTGAATCGATGCATATAGATATTATTATTAATTGTATAGTTACATTTAAGGCAAAATAATGTATATGTACATATTCATATGTTGAAAAGAGAATAAAATATTTATATTATTTTACAATTATAGATTATTGATAGGTTAATATTAATTATAAGGTTGCTATATCTATGTACGAATATATACCTGTGATCCGGGTAGTTTAATCAAAAGGTGGAAGAGAAGACAAAGAATTACTTGACTATTTTTGCTCCACACACAAAAGAGTACAAAAAAAATGTAATTTGCAAAAGAAGGAAAGCGGCGAACAAATGCTATGCAAGCAGGCCACTGCCTTGCAAGTACCGAGAATAGTCGATTCAGTGCGATGAAGACTATTAAAATCGAAAAAAGCGAAAATCTATTACTCGTTGTTTCTCGTACAGCGCGGTTTTAGACTGGCGGAAAACTTGAAGTGATGGACACGGCATCGAGTGCTTGGTTTTATACCGTCCTTCGAGAAGATTCTCGAACGATGAAAAATTAGTTTTGAGTTGAATCAAAGAAAGCAGAGAATTTTTTCGAAAGTGAGCGGTCGCTCGTGTTTGTTATTTTTCCGAGTCGGCTGAGATTCGAATTCGCAGCGAAGCGTTCCGCGCGGTCTCGGAGCGGGCGCTATCTATTACACGCGAAATCTACTGCGCGAATAATTATTCGCGTTAATTGGCGATCGGATATTTCGTTTGATTTTGAACAATCTATGTTTAATTTAAATGTACTTTAAAAATTGCTTCTTTATCTAATTCTTTATTCTGATTGGAAGAAGAGTTGCAAAAGAAATTTCATTAATTTTAATTAATGATATAAATAATATAAATAATATAAATTTTAATTATTGAACATTATGGAAAAAGATGCAGAAGACAGGCAAAAGCATCTTATGTTGCTGTGATGTCCGATGAATTGTTTTATTGTTACTTATTGTTATTTTTTTATACTTCCTATTTTTTCTTTTTTTCCTTTTGCTGTCTCGTTTGGCTTCATCTACCTATTATTTCACTATATACGTACTAGTGCAATTTATTCCCATGTAAAATTACTATCGCGTGCATCGGTTTGGTTATAGTATCGTGTGCAATTATGTAAAAACTATGCTAATAGAAATTGCATAGAAAAATGTATTTATAATGCCAGAGAAGGGTAACGAATAGGTCGATCACGGATAGTTTCGGAGAAAAGAAATGAAAAGATAAGAGGAAATTTTCACTAAATCATAGAAAGAGATATGATTATAATGAAAAGAATTATGCAAGTTACATAATATGTAATAATATATATTAAACAAATTAATCATCACTTAAAAATCAATTAAAATCGATATTTATTATTTTTTTCTCTTGTTTAATCCTTGATTATTTTAATCATTTGCTCTTTGGATCTTTAATAAATAATATGTATAATTATTTAACAATTGTTTTTATATTTCCATTTTTCCTTGATCACTGTTTCGTATCTCTGTTTTTGCTTGATTAATGATATTATTTCCAATGATATTAAACATATTTAAACATATTTAAATAAGAAAAAACTGCTTCATACGAATGTGCAAAATCAGGAGTGAAGCAATTTAGCTGCATGTTCTTTAGAATTATGTGCGCTCGACAGATTAGATAAGCTTGTATTAGATTTCTTGCTCTTAGATACATATTTATTGTTAGATACATATGATGTTTTTATATTATTAGCTCTATGACGCATTAAAGCATCACTGCGTGCAAATGCACGACTAAAGGCGTATACATTCTTGTATTATTTTATTTCAGAAACTTTGTAAAATTTTGTTTTAGGTTTAAATTGATGAATTTTGCACTTATTGTTAAAATAGAGAGCATCTTAAAATCGTTATGAATATTGTTTGTTAATATTAATCGTTTTATTTTTAAAAATGTGAGTAAATGTGAGTGTTTATCATGAAATATTTGAAAAGTAATAAAATAAATAAATCCATGTTTATGTGTACGCAAGAAATTTAGTTTTAATAAAAATATTTTTTAAATGTTAGATATGTTTTGTTTATAGAAGAAGAGCTTAAACTAAAAGTTTGTATAAAAAAACTGATTAGTACTATAATTGAAGCTCATAATAAATTATTGGACTAATTGTTACAAAGAATGAAATTAAGATAGATATAAAACAGAAAACAATTGTTCGCTTGATAAGTTTTAATTATAATGACTATTTTACTTTTTTTTATTGTTTCTAAATAATTATAAATGAAATTTAAATTTTTAGTTTGTATTCTCTCTCTTTTATTTTTTTTCTATATTTTGATTTTATCATTCATAAAAATTTTAAAATTTTATTAGAACAGTGTTTAATCTAATGCACATTTTCATTTTACTTGCAAAATATTTATGCCAAAATGTTTTCTTTATTTAAACATTTCAAATAATTAGTATAAATAAGAATTTGCTTTTCTATTTTTGATATTTGATATACGGAGGATGAAGGAGAAATTTATTTATTTATGTGATTTAAAAAATTTCAAGATAATTTGTATTATGTTAAATATAATCGAAATTGCTGTTTTTTAAATGTTATTTATTACTTTATTTTTACTTTAAAGTGTTTTAAATGTACATGTTTTTAATATCATATCTTATTTGATTTTATCAAGTGACATGTCATATCGAATTCTGCGATATTTGATAACAATTTGACCAATTGTAAATGGTCATGTTCTATATTTCGTATGAGTCATAGCTGTTTGTTAGCGGTCTAGATATAATATGTAGAAATCTGTATTATATATATATTTATATTGTCAAATCAATCAATCAAATACTTCTTAAAAAATAAAATTATTCAATATATACAGTATTAATATTTATCCAACTAGCAGACTGGATGAGTTTCGCGATGGCACTTATTTCCGATATGAAGTGAGCACAGCACAATCGAAAACTGCTGTCCTCAGTGCAAATTGCGGAATTTATATTGAACGTATTCTTTATTACGTCTTCTATCTTCTATTAATCGATGATCGTTATGTAAATGGCAAAAACCTGACACTAAAAATATCGATTGGAAACAGATTGGAAACACTGTTATAAATATAATGAAAAAAAGTCAGAAATATATAATATTTTATGTTGAATATATAATATGTTTTTGTCATTTAATGTGAAATTACAGATTATTTTGGAAAAAAATATGTATATAAAAAAATAATATATTTAAGGAAATTTTATTTCACTGGTCACTTTTTATTTTTCTTCCTCTTTTTGCAATGTGAAATTTTCATGTAATTAATTGTTATATATAACACTTATATTTGCTACTACATTATTTTATAGGGAGACTGAATAAAAATTTTTTGAGATTTCTATTTTAATCAATTTCTTTATATAGACCATAGACATATAATAGTAAGATAATAATAAGACATATAATAGTAAGTATAGACCGAGCATACATCCATTGTATAAGCGTTAAGCATAAAGAAAGAAAGACAAAAGATGTAAGATCAGTTTCTTTCTCTTTTTAATGCCGAAGAAGTGGGGAGCACTTCTCTTCATCTCCTCGCCCCTCCATGACGAATCCGCGTGAGAAGATGTGGAGAAGTGCTCCCCACTTCTCCGGCATTGAAAAAAGAAAGAAACTCATCTTACATATTTTGTCTTTCTTTTCGTATGCTTAACGCTTATACAATGGATGCTCGGTCCATACTTACTATGTCTATGATAGACCAATTATTTAAGCATTATTTTTGGTTATTTCTCACGTAACAAAATATTTTTATATACATAAGAACACAACATATTATATGCTATAATTGAAATCGTTTAAATCAATTGCGTTTTCTGACTTGAACCTATCTTAATTTTATTTCTTCTTCCAATTCATTTGTATTTATTGCTATTATTATTTTTCCACAGATATAGCATCTCTGTATATAATTTTGATTTATTCTGTAAAAAATTTTTAATTAGAAGTTTCTTGGCAAAGCCGATTAATGTGGTTCAATATAAGATGTAGAGTATTTAATATGATAATAATTTGTAGGTAGGAATAAAGTTTTTCTTGGTAAAGTGATTTATAGTCGATAATATTACACTAATGATTACTTATTCAATGTCAGAGAAGAGAAATAATCATATTTACAATATTGAAATAATCATATTCATAAAACTTGTAGAACTTGTTGCAACTAGAAGGAATTGCATAATTAACCTTTTGCAGGCGTTTTTATCTTATCGATTTTGAAATGTCATGTTTAACTTTGCTCCATCTGAAACATCTAATTATGATTAAGTAAGAAAGTTTTATATACGCTATATGAGTTTTATATACGCTGGCACGTCATTTTGACGCTCCAAACTGATCATTTTTGGTCATCTGTCGTCAAAATGACAGATTTGTTACATGACTTTATCATTGACATCTTGATATAAGATCTTGATATAAGATTTATTTTATACATTATTTTGATGTCATTTTTCAGTCATAAAGTGACGATTATTTTATTATTAATGTCATTAATTAGTGTTATACACCGATCCCATAAAAAAATCTTTTAAAATTTTTTATATAACATGACTTTCGTAATCAGACTTTAACAATTCTTTCGACGCATGCGTTTATCTGTATACGATTCATGTTGCATAGTTAAAATATTAGCTATTTATATCAATCGAGTGTAATTAAAGTGCCAAAGAATATATACATTTTTTAATAAATAATACAATTGATTGACAAAATATATTTGTATAAAATGCAGGCAATGAAAGACATTATTTGTTAAAATGTTATATGATATGTTATTAGGTGTAAGTTTTTTTTATTTACGTTTAAATAAAATAATAATAACAAATATAAAATTTGTGACCTATTTTCTTATCGTTGCGTTTCTTATCATTTGAGTTTTCCAGCGTTTTCGAATGAAGCAGTTTAATCAATCCTCTGAAGAATAGAATGGCTGTAATTGTTCAATGATACTCTCGAATCGGTTAATTTGCTCTCTAAAAGTGAATCAGTGAAAACTGTGATATCACTAATTTAAACAGTAAAATAAGATTTCACTGAGAATCAGTAAATATGTTACTGATCTTCAGGGGAAACGCTTATTTTTTTGTTGTTTTATCTTATATCCCACTGATTATAGTCAGTTAAAGTAAAATTCACTGTAAAACCAGTAAATTTCACTGTAAAATCAGTAATCGCTAGTTCGATCGTTTACCGCTATGATCGCTATCTCTCTCGTATTTAATTTTAATCATAAGAATTATATAAAGTTTGCAAAGAGTGACAGATAAAATTAGAAATATTACTTCGATTTAGTTTCTGATGACAATCTCAATAGAGAATAGAGAGGCTTAGATATTAAATCAATCTTATAAGACGGACAAATAAATGTCTGGCGACTTAATGAAAATTATTCGTTCGTTATCTATTTAAAATAACAAGTTCAATTTACATGTAATATAAATAAAATAAAATTTTTAATATAATAAATACTTAATAAATATAAATAAAATTTTTAATTTTATATATATTTATTTATATTTATATACATTTATTTTTATATTTATTATATTTATATTATATTTATGAAATAGATAGAGAGATGAATTGTAGTTTAATATTACTAGCAATAACGAAAGAAATATTACTGATATTGAGAAATATTACTGATTGAAATTACTAATTGAAACAGTCGAAATTATTAACTGATTCTTTCAAGAAAATATCACTGATTTACAGTACTGTATTTATAACTGCTGTAATCAGTGATTATTTACTGTATTTCAGTATAATACACAGTAATACACTGATTCACTTTTGGAGA